ATAAATTTTAATTAATTTGAGTAAATACTAAGGAGCATAATTGCTGGATTGTATGGTAAGAGTTGTTTGTAAGAAACTGTCCAAGTCTCTTTCAAAAGGCTATACCGCCGGGCGTGGTGGCTCACGCCTGTAATCCTAGCACTTTGGGAGGCCGAGGCGGGCGGATTGCTCAAGGTCAGGAGTTCGAAACCAGCCTGAGCGAGACCCCGTCTCTACCAAAAATAGAAATAAATTAATTGACCAACTAAAAATATATATATACAAAAAATTAGCCGGGTATGGTGGCGCATGCCTGTAGTCCCAGCTACTCCGGAGGCTGAGGCAGTAGGATCGCTGAGCCCCGGAGATTGAGGTTGCTGTGAGCCAGGCTGACGCCACGGCACTCACTCTAGCCTGGGCAACAAAGTGAGACTCTGTCTCAAAAAAAAAAAAAAGAAAAACAAAAAAAGAAATTGGATCTCTACCTTCAATTATAAACAAATTAATTAAATATTTAAACATGAAGAACATATTGTAAATGCCTTCAAGAGAAAATATGAGAAAACTGGGTGCGGTGGTGCATGCCATGATGCCTAGCTAAATTTTCTATTTTTAGTAGAAACAGGGTCTCACTCTTGCTCAGGCTGGTCTCAAACTCCTGAGTTCAAGCAAGTCTCCCATCTCGGCCTCCCAGAGTGCCAAGATAATAGGCGTGAGCCACCGTACCCAGCTTTCTCATATTTTCTCTTGAAGGCATTTACAATTTGTTCTTCATGTTTAAATATTTAATTAATTTGTTTATAATTGGAGGTAAAGATCCAATTTCTTTTTTCCATGAGAATATCCAATTGTGCCGACACCATTTACTGATTTAGCTCAGTGATCTGCAATGCTACTTCTATGGTATATCCAGTTTCCATATATGTAGTCTATATGAGAGAACTTGTTACTACAATTATATGACTTAAATGTTTAGCATACAAAATATGAATTTAAAAATATCAAGTAGCCAACAGTAGTGGTACATGCTGCTAGTCACAACTAGCCAGGAGGCTGAGGTGGGAGGATTGCTTGAGCCCAGGAGTTCAAGTCCTGTCTCAGCAACATAGCAAGATCTCATTTCTTAAACAAATAAAGGCTGGGTATGGTGGCTCAAGCCAGTAATTCAGCATTCTGGGAGGTTGAGGTGAAAGGAATGTTTGAGTCCAGGAATCAGAGACAAGCCTGAGCAACACAGTAAGACCACATCCTTACAGAAAATAAAAAATTAGCCAGATGTGGTGGCACGTGCCTGTAGCCCCAGCTACTCGGGAGGCTGAGGCAGGAGGATTGCTTAAGCCCAGAAGTTGGAGGCTACAAGGGGTTATGATGACCACCAATGTGCTCTAGCCCATGCAACAGAGTAAGAACCAGTCTCAAAAAAATTTTTTTTTAAATCAAGTAGTTTCTATACAAAGTTAAATGCTTAAAAAGACTCGATAGAAGTTATTAGCTAAAACAACTGGTTTGAAATTAGGTGTGGATGAGAAACCACAAAAGACTTAAAAGAAAATTTGAAAAACATAAAAGCCCACTATACTCAGACTACGTAAAAAGTGTCTTTAAATTATTAATCTATTAGGAGAAAATGAAGCTGGAAATTCCAGATGATGCATTACAGATATGTAGTCTGAAAAAAAAGCAAAAACAAGAAGGTGATACTGTTCCTACACCAGCTAATCTCCAGGAAACTTATGTTAAAATAAAAGACTCAACTCTTACATCAAAATCAATTACTATTTCATTGTTACAATAATAAAAAGTTAGAAACAATCCAAAAGTATAGTAGAGGAAACCATATATTACTTATGGATAAGTATGCAATATTACTCAACTATTAAAGTTCTTTTTTGTCCAATGAATAACCTCTAAGAATTTAACAATATATTTAAAAAGAAATAAAACTACCACTACATAGCCATTAAAAGAGACACTATTATATGAAAAATAAATATTAATAAGTGTTGACAAGAAGATGGAGAAATTGGAACCTTTGTGAACTATAGGTGGAAACGTAAAATAGTGCAGCCACTGTGCAAAAAGTTATGGTAGTTCCTCAAAAAATTAAAAATAGAATTACTATATGATCCCCAGCATTTCCACTTATGGGTATATACCCAAAAGAATTAAAAGCAGGGTCCCAAAGAAATATTTGTACACCTGTTCATAGCAGCATTATTCACAATTGTCAAAAGGTAGAAACAACTCAAGTGTCTACCTACAGATGAATGGATAAACAAAAGATGATATATACATATAATGAAATATTATCTAGCCCTAAAAAGGGAATAAATTCTGACACATGCTACATACAACATGAATGAACCTTAAGGATCTTATTACGCTAAGTGAAATAAGTTAGTCACAAAAAAATAAATTCTGTATGATTCCACTTATATGAGATACCTAGAGTAGTCAAATTCACATAACAGAAAGTAAAAGGGTGGTTGTCAAGGGTTAGGAGAAGAGAAGACTAGGGGGTTGTTTGATGGGGACACAATTTCAGTTTTGTAAGATAAAGAGTTTTAGAGAGTGGCTGCAAATGGTTTGAATGAATGTACTTAATGCCACTGAACTGTACACTTAAAAATGGTTAAGATGCTAGTTTTATGTATATTTCACCGTAATCTTTTAAAAAATATTTTTAATTTTACCACTATTTAAGTGAAACTATACATATTAAAATAACAATATTTTAAAACATTTATAAGATATTTTTATCCATACTATGCATGCTTTGTAACAGAGAGGATTTAAGACTGTATGCGGGATACAGAAAATATGATCACAGGCAGCAAATTAAAAGTCAATGAGAAAGTTCCTCACTAAAATATAATTCAAGCCTAAAAATTGTTTTAAGTATAAACTGGGAGGAATCCGACTGAAATGTTAAAAAAACAAAACAAAAAACCCATAATACCAGCATGCCTGGGTTTGAACAACACTACTTCCTGGAATGTTCCTCTTAACTATTGCTGTAAAGAAGATCAAGGTAAAAATGAAATGACTTGCTTTACAAAATTATTTTAAGTAAGTTAAAAATATAAATATCTTACAAAATAACTTTAGAGTAGTTAGTCTATAGATTCCTTCTTTCTAAAAATAATTAAGTGCAGGATTGGTTGTTTATTAAAAAAAGAACCATGGAGAAAAAACCTGAAGCAAATACTTTTCAGATGAAAAACATGGTTAATATAGCACACCACTGTTTAACCTACCAGACTCCTTTTGTGTATCCTGTAAAACAATTTCTGCTACTTGCAGATATATAAGTATACATTTCTCTCCCCCAAATACCTTGAACATCTCTTCCCAAAACTTCCACATAGTTTTGATCTTTTAAGACTTCCTGGTCATCTTCCTCCAAATCATATTCTGGCTTCTTTATTATTTTTTTTGTGTTGACCAAAAGCTGGGCTCGCTCCTTCTTTAATTTAGCTCCTATAAGAACATCCAAAGAATCAGAACATGATAGGTACAACTTCTTTCTACATATTACATTTAAATAAGTAAACAAACTGTACTACTTATATTGTTATTACTTAAAATCAGTGTGTTCTCTTTGATTATAATTAAGTTTAGGAAAAAAAACCACACACCTTAAAAGTATATATTTTGGGGAATCAAAATCACCACATATTTGAAGTTATCATTTACCACTACTACTGAGCATTTCATAATAGATAAGGCTTTATTTAAAATTTGCAATTAAAGTTTCAAATAATTAAACTAAAAATTAAAGTAGTTTTTATTTAGTCTTACTAAATCAAATACTTTGTGCTATATTTTCAAATTATAAAATGTTAAAATATTTTAAAAATTGAAATAATCCATGAGCATTACAATAACCATCTTCTCAATTGTACAATCACGTACTACCTCCTTCTCTATCGAGAATGTGATTAAGAACATCATCATCTCCCACAAACTGAACCTCCAGCATCTTGTCTTCTTTTATTTCCAGTTTACTTGTCATTGCCAACCTAAACAAAAGCAATAAATTCACTCAAAAGTGATGAAGAATTCACACAGTCAAAAAGTCACATACTGAATATATATCTCTTTTGTTAAAATAGTATTTTTTTTCTTTTTTTTTGAGACAGAGTCTCGCTTTGTTGCCTAGGCTAGAGTGAGTGCCGTGGCGTCAGCCTAGCTCACAGCAACCTCAAACTCCTGGGCTCAAGCAATCCTCCTGCCTCAGCCTCCTGAGTAGCTGGGACTACAGGCATGAGCCACCATGCCCGGCTAATTTTTTCTATATATATTAGTTGGCCAATTAGTTTCTTTCTATTTATAGTAGAGACAGGGTCTCGCTCTTGCTCAGGCTGGTTTCGAACTCCTGACCTCGAGCAATCCGCCCGCCTCGGCCTCCCAGAGAGCTAGGATTACAGGCGTGAGCCACCGCGCCCGGCCTAAAATAGTATTTTTTAAAAGTCTTTTTTGAGACAGTGTCTTGCTCTGTCGACTGAGGAAGAGTGGCCGCATTATACCTCACTGCAAACTCCTGGGCTGAAGCAATCCTCCTGCGTCAGCCTCCCAAGTAGCTGGGACTACAGGCATGCACCACGATGCCGGGCTAATTTTTCTATTTTTTGTAGAGATGGGGGGGTCTCACTCTTGCTAGGCTGGTCTTGAATGCCTAAGCTCAAGTGATCCTCCCACCTCGGCTTCCCAGAGTGCTAGGAATACAGGCATGAGCTACCACACCCCGCTAAAAAGTCTTTTTATGTATAAAAAGCACACTGTGCATTATTGTAATAATATTATGTCTCTGACTGTAAATAACTCAATTCTTTATCTGAAAAACGAGGGACAAGGGGAAAAGATGTCTGAGATTTGAAAGCTAAATCCATCAAAGTAAGTAAACTATTAATAAAATGTTGGGAAAACAATTACATTTGTAAAGAAAGCTCTAACTAATCATGATAACTACCACATTAACAGAAAGAGGGTGGTTAATATAAGTGTTTAGAAAAGGGGCAATGAAAGAATTAATGGTTTGGTGGATTTTATTATCTGTTCACTAGAAAGATATATTCCACTGAGGGAAGCCTGTGATATTTCATTGGCGTCCCAAGCCTGGATCAAATAAACCCCAAGTACTTTCCTTTGCTTTTCTTGAATGCTTACCAAGCAACCTTATGAATACTAATATGGCCTTCTAGGTATCTTGACAACTAAATATTAATAATAAACACGAATCTTTCCAACATTTGATAGTTCCTCACTGAACAAACTTAAGAATTTGGCAAGCAAAGGTTTAATTAACTCTGGCTATTCTAACAAAATTTAGTTTCAGAACTTATAATGCTAATATCCTAAAACTAATTAATGATAATTCCAACTCAGTTTACTCAAAAAAATGTAAACTAGGATTTGAGGAATTTTCTTCTCTCCTAACTCCTGTTTTTACATTTTCTTTTGACAAGAGGAACTATTGACTGTGTCTCTAGGGAGTTAGTTATCTACATGTGGATACTAATTCAATGTTCCCAAGTTTTCTTTTGACAACTGACACATTTAGATAACTTATTTCAGTTTTCATTTACCTTTTAAGGTACTACACATTCTGCAGCTGGAAGATTTAGATAAAGTCACCTGTAATTAGAAAAAGAACTCAGTCAGGGTTAGCTTGTATGAAAATAAAAGCAACGAGGCAAAATTAAGAAGTCCACAAGTTTTAACAGACATGATGAATAGATAAATGTAGACCTTACAAAATCATGATGGTAGTAAGGACAAAATAATCATTACCATTTTGGCCAGGAAGCCCTAGAGACTGAGAATATCTGGATTTCAGGGGTAGGAGGACACAATTTGAGTACTTATAATATAGTAAACATAGTTTTGAGTACTATAAATGTATTCTCTCTTTTTAAAATATTTTATATTTTAGTCCTGGTGCAAAGGTGGCTCTGCAGCATAATTTAGGCCTTGGAGGAGCTGCGATTGTAATGATCTACAAGATGGGTTTTCCCTGAAGCTGCCAGTTCTTTTAGAACTCATCAAATTGAGGCTGCTCCAACCAGCTCTCCAGGTGGTGGATTTAAGGCAAATCTTGTCTTTAAGGAGATTGAGAAGAAGCTAGAAGAGGTAGGGGAACAGTCTGTGAAGAAAATTGGTGGTGTTTTTGCCTTCAAGGTGAAGGATGGCCCTGGGGGTAAAGAAGCCACCTGGGTTGTAGATGTGAAGAAGGGCAAAGGATCAGTGCTTCCTAACTCAGATAAGAAGGCAGACTGCACGATGACAATGGCTGACTCTGACTTACTGGCTTTAATGACTGGTAAAATGAATCCTCAGTCGGCCTTCTTTCAAGGCAAATTGAAAATCACTGGAAATATGGGTCTGGCTATGAAGTTACAAAATCTTCAGCTTCAGCCAGCCAAAGCTAAGCTATGAGAACTCCCCTTTGACTACTTTTGAAAATCAAGATGAAATATATAGATATATCCATATATTTCATTGTCAGAATTTAGACTGAGACTACACATTGGCAAATTGTGTGAGAGATTTGTTTTTAAAGGGGTATGGCCAATCCTGTTTTTCCTATGCTCTGGGTGAATAGAGCCTGATGGTGTACTCCTACTTTGCTGAATTGCATACAACTATGCATTACAAAGTTAATATGGTAATTATGGTTTGGGGTTGAGTTCAGAATAAAATTGAGTTCAGAATAAAATTAGGAACAGTAAAATCCAAAAAATTACGTAAACAAAAGCTCTTATTTTGCTTATAAAGCATAGTTAAGGATTATTCTACTGAAAATTCAGTTTAAGAGTTTTCCTTGGAGAGAACTAGGGAAGAAACAATATCAATAGCCAATCAGTAATTAGTGTTGTGCACTTAATCAAGCTCTCATTAATAGTTCTTAAAATTCTGTACCAGGATTAAAAAAAAAAAACAAAACTTAAAAATTTTGCATTTCCTGCCATCAGAAACAGTATTTTCTTCCTAAATCAAAATAAAAGAAATATGGGCCGGGTACGGTGGCTCACGCCTGTAATCCTAGTACTCTGGGAGGCCAAGGCAGGCAGATTGCTCGAGGTCAGGAGTTCAAAACCAGCCTGAGCAAGAGCAAGACCTCGTCTCTACTATAAATAGAAAGACATTAATTGGCCAACTAATAGATATAGAAAAAAATTAGCCGGGCGTGGTGGCACATGCCTGTAGTCCCAGCTACTCGGGAGGCTGAGGCAGGAGGATCGCTTGAGCCCAGGAGATTGAGGTTGCTGTGAGCTAGCCTGGGCAACAAAGTGAGACTCTGTCTCAAAAAAAAAAATAAAAGAAATATGATCACAGACAGGTTGGTGGGGAATGTGTAACTGAACACAGGCCTATTTTTAAAATAAAAATATTTAAAAAATGGGTTTCCTTCTTGAAAAATCAGTGTATTCGAGTCATAAAACACTATTGTTAAAAAATAACTGAATAAAATTTGCTTAGAGATGCACAGTTTTTAAATTATATCTCATATTTAAATTTATAAAGATCTCAGTCTTTTGTTATACTTTTCCTTTTTCATGCGAGTTTAATTATCTGCATTTATCTTTTTTCCTAGTTTTTTTTAATACTAATGTTATTTCTTATATTCAGTAAGATATGGGATAAAATAATGCTTTTGGAAGAATGTTTAATAGAAAATTAAAATAGCTCTTCCTGGAAAACAAATTTAAAAAATAAAATATTTTATATTTTAAATATTTTAATATTCATTCTTCTTATTTTTTTACCACAATACTAATGAGGAAATGTATTCTCATTTAACCCTCACAATAACTCTATGAGGTTTACACTTTGTGCATAAATAAATACTTCATCCATAATTTATGACCACTGCTTATAAAACATATTCTCCTGGGCTATTTTTCTAGTCATAATACTGCTTCTTTGTCTTTGGCCATATCAGCCTGAATGCGCCCGCTCTTCTCTGATCTCAGAAGCTAAGCAGGGTTGGGCTTGGTTAGTAACTTGGATGGTTGGGAGTCATGATACTGTTTCCTATTATGGGGAATCTGGGGGCATTAGAGAAAATTTTTAATGCATTTATATGATATCTATATAAAATAAACTAAAAATTTCTTTAATACTTGTATAAACAAACAGGTTCTTTGAGGGGCTGTTTGTCAGGTATTGTATTAGGCACTTTTATATATAACAGCTCATTATCCTCAGGTTCTTGAGGTAGATATTTTGCATCTCTATATATTATATATATATAATTTACCCAACTTAAATATGAGTAAACTGAGGTTAAATATTAAACCATTCACTCAAATTCACATGATTAGAAAGAATATTAAGGTTGAAACCTAGATTTGATTGATTCCTAAGTTCCTGATTATTACACCACATCCTTTTCCTGCCATTAAATAAAAATGTATCATAAATGCTTGTTTTGACCTCTGCAAATTACTCATGAAGTCTAATCATTTCCCACATATCAGCATACTTGACATATCCAAAGACTTCTATAGTTCCTCTAACTTTCCAGTTCATTAGGGGAAATATCACTAGTTCTATCCGCATAATCTACATTATTTTTATTTAATTATATACTTCTGTGTTATACAAAGGATTTGAAGCAGTGACAATGACCAAATGCAATAAAACAAATGATAAATTAAAAATGCTAATGAGGAGTGTTGGGCAGGGAAAATATAAAGAAAAGCAGAAAATAAAATATATGCAAAGAATTTTTGGCTTTGAGCTTCCAGGCAAAGTGAAAAAGGAGTAAAGATCTGTTACATAATTCTCAATAGTAAAAGCTTAGTAGTTGTTTCAGGGAGATAAAAAAGATTTTCTAGGAAAATTTAAAAACAAATATTCTAGGCCACTGAATATTGTCCTAGGCAATTTCCTCGTGGTGTTTTACAAGAATTGCCAGGATAGAGGCAGCATAATTCAGTCTTGTTTGTAGCTGAATGTACTTATATAAACATTTCCTTTGCTAGACTTTAAAGCATCTTATTAAATAATAAAAAAATCATCAAACTGAAGAATTTTCTATAAAGACCTCTTAAGAAACTTTCTCTCCAACAGTTCCTGAAAAAACACTGCCTAACAATCACACAGTAAAATGCAATATTTAGTGACCATCTATGATCTTTCAAGGCACTGCCTTGGTGCTTCTAGGTCAACTCCTTTCATGGAATTAACTTCAAGGCAATTCAGCAGCACGAAGTGAGTAATAACAGCAACACCCTCTCCTTTGACAGCAAATAAGATTTGCTTAATTAAAAAAAAATGAAATCCTTTAAAAAAGAGGATAGTATGTATTAGCGGTTAAGTACCAATTTTAATATCAGAAAAACCCGGGTTCTAATCGCAACGCCTCACTTTGTAACTGTGTGGCTTTGTCCAAAGTCGTGATGATTAAATGAAATCATGTGTCTGACATATGAAAATGCTCATTGAGTGTTCCCTATTACCAGTATTTTTACTTTAAGCTTCAACCTAACAATGGGAATCTCTTGTACATTTATATCTCATGCAACATCTAACAGAAAAAGTGCTCAGTAAGTGATGGAATGATGTTCATTTAACGTGCAGAGCCATTACACAAAGGTTTAGTTAGGGCCATGCTATTTTTCTTCAGGTTGCAATTTAGCTAGTGGAAAGTGTAATGGTTTCATTAGGATTTCAGTTGTAAAATGAAAAGCAATGCTTCAACAGCCTTTTAATTTAAACACCTCTACCTAAAAAGCCTGGTCTATCAACCAAGCATGGCCCCACGGTGACCGATTAGTTAATCAGCAGGACACATTTGATGCTTCCAGGCTGGGATAACATCAAAGGTTCTCGCTACAGAGGTAGTTCTGGGACATGATATCTTCCTCTTCATCCCTCACAGAGCAACTTTACTACTTTCGTTACAGTTCTCTGTCCAATCTGAGGGCCCGGTAAGCCGGGAAACAGGTATGCAGGCTTCAGGCGTCCCTTGCACACAAGGCCTATCACTGCTGGACAGACCGACGGTCTTCCCAGAGTGAGCCTCTCGCCCCAACAAGTATTCTCGACTTCGCCCTGTGCCTCCAGCTGCTGACCAGTTGGCTGCGTTTCACCAGCCGGGGGTCCTAGAGCCCGAGGGTAGCCTGCAGAGGGCAAAAACAAGAGGCGCAGAGACCCTGCCCTGAACGCCGAGGGGGAGCCTTGACACGCGCGACGCGGGCGCCCCAGCTCAGCCGCGGAGCGGGGCGCACCTGGCTCACCTCACAAGCCCAGAGCTAAGGAGAAAAGGGAGGCAACCCGCTCCGACACCCCACAACGCTCTGCTAGGTTTCCGCCTAGCGCGGATCCGGCCCCCTCGCACCTGCCTGACGATACCCTGCTGAGTCGTCGCCACAGGGAAGATAGCTTCGGTCCCAACCAAAGAGGCCAACTTCCAGTCGTCCGCGCCGAGCCGGGCCAAGCGGGGCAACCCCGGTGGCCAGCTGGGGGATGGGAGGCCTGCGCACTGCACACCGAATCTCCCGCCCTGATCAGGGGGCGGCGCCCTGCGAAGCCAATAGGAAGCAGAGTTGGACAAGAGCGACGGCTCTGCAGGCCAGTCGGAGCCGGCCAGCCGGCCCCGCCTAGCAGGAAACCCGAGGAAAACGAATCCCTCGGCTCTGGGCTTCAGGCCTTTCCTTTCCTTTTTCCGTTTCCGGGGAAGGGAGGAAGAAGTGTAGTTTGGATCTGAGGAAGTTTGCGGCGGGTAGCTGGCTGAGCAGTTGCTCTGTCTTGTGGCAGTCATAAAAGTGTTCGTTAGTTTCCCCTCTAGTTACCTTTTTTTGATGAAAAAGATAATGGGAATGGATTCGCTTTTTTTTTTTTTTTTTTTACTTTCTCATTTGACATGAAGGGTAGGGTCTCCTACTTCTCAAGGGTTTGGGGGAGGGAGAAGAGGAGACAGTTCTTCCTAAGGGCCCGAACGCTGAGTATGGAGATGGGATCAGAGTGCTAACGGGATGAAGAGCGAGGGGAAATATAGTAGAATGAATAGACACGGAGAAACTGAGGGAAAGAAATGAACCTGGCTGAGATACCCACAGTATTACTAGCAGAATACTATTTCATTTGGAGTCATTTACTCCTGCGAACCAGACCATAAGGGTACAATATTGAGCGAGACAGCCATTATCTCTGTCCTCACGGTAGATACCTAGCAGGGGAAGATACTGAAAGGACAATATTGAGAAAAACACGATGTAAGAAGTGCAGTATTTATTGGAGCATGTGGCAAGAGTACCTGATTAGAAGGCTATAAGGAGTCAGGAACAATTTCTTTGGAGGAAGAGGTGTTTAGATTGAAAACGCAGAGTTGAATGGATTTAGGCCAGGCAAGGAGGGGCAAAACTTTCCAGGTAGAAGGTACAAATCAATGATAGCAGTTGCGTATAGTTCCAAGAGTCTGGTCTGTTATTACGAAGGGTCTGTTACTACGAAGGGCTTGTTGGCCCTTCGGGCACTGGTCAGATTTGTATTGAAATATCACAAGATTAAGGAGGTACGAATGGGAAAGAAGAAATGGAGTCACACCATTTGGAAGCTGTTTAGAGAATACAGTTGAGAAAGAGAAATGATAGTAGCCTTTATACCTCATTATTCCATTTTGGTTAGCTGGAGTTTAGAAAAGGGGGCCGGCGGGTAGCTTCACGCCTGTAATCCTAGCACTCTGGGAGGCTGAGGCAAGAGGATCATTTGAGGTCCGGAGTTCAAGACAAGCCTGAGCAAGAGCAAGCCCCCGTCTGGTGGCGTGTAGCTATAGTCCCAGCTACTTGGGACGCTGAGGCAGGAGGATCGCTTGAGGCTGGGAGTTTGAGGTTGCTGTGAGCTATGATGACGCCATTGCACTCTAGCCAGGGCGACAGAGTGAGGCTCTGTCTCAAAAAGGGAAAGGCAATTTTTTGTGCATTGTAAATTAAAAAAAAAAAAATGAGGGGGGCGGTGAGTAGAGACAGGAAAGAGAACATAGCCTAACAGTTAATGACATGCTTGAAGAGTACTTAAAACTTTGAAGATCTAGC